GGGAGCTCAAGTAGATTTAGAGTTCATATGGGGGAGCATACCTGCACTTGTAGGAAATGGGACCTCATAGGTATCCCCTGTGAGCATGCAATAAGTGGCATGTTCTTGTTGGGCACTCAACCAGAGGACTATGTTGCTGACTGGTATCACAAAGAAATGTTTTTTAAAGCTTATTCTGAGATGATGGGCACTCTTCAACCTCCTGAGTGCTGGCCAAGTGTAGAAGCAATGCCATTGAACCCACCATATGTTGGGAGACTGCCTGGAAGGCCAAAAGGCAATGCCAGAAAAAAGCAGCCACATGAAGTGGTTCAGATAGGAAAATCCAAAAAACAAGTTCAAGTGAAGCTGAGTAGAAAAGGGAGACTTATGAAGTGTTCTCTTTGCAACAAAGACAGCCACAACATTAGATGTTGTCCATTAAGAACTGACAAGAGTGCAGCAACTGAGGTAGTTGTTAAATATTTGTAAATTTTTTGTTTCTATTTTTGTGTTTTATACAAATAGTAATTTCTGTAAATGTTGACTTGGATAGGTATATTTACCGTTGTTTTTTTATGAAGGGTAAAAAAAGGAAAGCAACTTTGAAAGAAAAAATAGTGAGTGCCCCTAATGAGGACATCTCTGTGGTCAAGGTAATGTCACAAGTAGTTACACATGTCTGTGGTTTATTTCTTATTACAGTTAGTGTTTATGTGTGTGTGTGTATATATATATATATATATATACATATATCACAAATTGCATAGTCACATGTACATTGTTGTTTTCTATGAAGGGGAGGAAGAGAAAAGCACATGGGAGATAAACTAAAGTGTATGCCCCTGCGGAAGATTCTGCAGAGAGAGAAGTACCTGTCCCTAATGAAGAGGCTGTTGTGTCCAAGGTAATGTTTTATATAAATATAAATATTTCAGGTTGAGTTTCAGTGCATTAGTGTCTACTATTTCATTGAAGTGTCTGTTTTTTTTTTTTTTTTTCCCCTTATTCATTTAATGGATAGTTACATTGTACATTGTTTGTTATGAAGAGAAAGAAGATGAAAGCACATGGTAAGGAAACTGAAGTTCTTCAGACACAGGAATCAGTGGCAACAATACCTTCAAGGGTCACCAGAAGTCATGTACAAGAAGCACAAGAAGCCAAGCACAGCCTGCATCTTCATCAAAAAGCCAAGCACAGCCTGCATCTTCACCAAGAAACCAAACCCAACCTGCATGTACAAGACTCACAAGAAGCCAAGCACAGCCTGCATCTTCACCAAGAAGCCAAGCACAACCTGCATCTTCACCAAGAAGCCAAAGGCAGCCTATCTTCACCAAAATTCCAAAGGCAGCCTGCATCTTCTCCAAGAAGCCAAAGCCAGCCTGCATCTACAAGACTCACAAGAAGCCAAGCACAACCTGCATCTTCACCTACAATGAGAAAAAAGAGTGAGTCTGCAAGGCCTTCAGTTACAACTTCACCTAAAATGAGAAAACAGAGTTAGTCTGCAGGGCCTTTAGTTGTAACTTCACCTACAAGGGTGACAAGAAGCCAAATTCAATCTGTAGCTACACCTACAAGGTCAAAAAGAAGCCACTCCAAAGGTCTCACACCTACAAAGGATTTGGGGCAAAAAAGCAAGACATTGGGCTTGAGGAGAAAACTTGAGGTAATGTATTATTGTGTGTTATTTTCACTGTCTGTTTCAACATATTTTAATGATCTTACTATCCATTTAATAGGTGACCAAGAAAAAAAATCCATTGACTCAAGGTGCTAGCTTTACAACAACAAAGGGACCAATAGTGAAGAAGCATGTGGTGCAATTTCAGCCTGAGCCAGAGATCTTGGGAACATATTGGGTTACAACTAGTGGGGACATAGTGGATCAGTAGGGGTCAGTTCTGAGAGATATTGGAAACTAAAAACAATTTCATGTGGATGTGGTTGTGGCTGATGTGTTTGTAGGGGTCAGTAATGGATATTTTGTGACAATGGTTGTGGTTGATGTGTTTGTTGAACTCAGATACAATAGTTATGTCTTTTGGATATTATGGTTGGTTTTTTTAATGGTTTGTTTTGTAATTGTGTTGTAATCAATCACAATCATTCATAATGTTTGGCTATCAAATTTTGTTCAATGGATACAAGTTTATTTGAATGGGTTGTTTAATCTTATTTATGTGTGTATGGCATTGGCAGTGGGAAAGGATTATGTGAAAGTGTCATAATATATGGCATTGGCAGTGGGAACCTCTTCTTTTTTTGTGCAGCTATCCCCAACACACTACAACAAGCAACAAAATAGTCATAAGTTCTAATTCCTACAAATGACTGAACCACATTCATTGAACAACCAAAATGGTTTGATCAATCAAAACAGGACCAGGAGAGTTTGAACAACACAAAACTAAAAGCTGAAAAATCTACATCATGCAATACATACATAATCTTACAATGATTGAGCCACATTTAGTGAACAACCAAAACCAAAATAGTTTGATCAACCAAAAGAGGACCAAAAGAGTTAACAACACAAAGCTAAAAGCTGAAAAATCTACATCATGCAATACATGATTAACCAAGATATCATAATTACAATCCACATCCAACGCTCCCGAACACTTTTCCTCTTCAAGCACAATTCCATTTCAACCATTTCTTCCTTAATAGCTTCAATACATGCTTCGGCCTCCTTGAAATCTGATTGAAGCATCTTTATATCATTTTCCAACCTCATCACGTCTGCTTCAAGAATTTGAGTTTCGCTTTCAAATTTGTTGGCACGCTTCAAAAGCCCTGGAATGATTTCACGAGCTCTACGGCACAATGGTGGTTCAATCCACATCCAAAATGTACAACCACCCTCCTCCTACAAAATTCAGTGGAAAAGGGAACTCAAATTTACGAGATCAATTTAAGAAATTAGGGTTGAATAATTTTGCCCAATTTCAGAAATTAGGGTTCACTAATTTAGCCCTAATTCAGAAATTAGGGTAATTTCAGAAAAAAAAAAAGGAACAATGACCATCCTCCTACAAATATCATTGGAAAAGGGAACTCAATTCTACGAGATCAATTTAATAAATTAGGGTTCAATAATTTTGAACAAATTCAGAATTTAGGGTTCACTATTTTTGCCCAAATTCACAAATTAGAGTAAATTTCAAATAAAAAATGACCAATCACCACCCTCCTACAAGATTCATTGGAAAAGGGAACTAAGCATTACGAGAACAATTTCAGAAATTAGAAATTTCCCCAAATTCTGAAATTTACCCGTGACTTCGAGCAACAAATGTATCTTCTTCCTGGATTATGAGCAGTCCACGACGTTTTCGTAACAACATTGATGCCACAATTGCAATATTGAGCCATCGTCTCCAAGCTGTCTCCAAGAATTTTCGCGTGCGTCTTACTCTGTTCACTTATCGTGATTTTAACGGGAATTTGTTCAGTGATGGAAAGACAAATATGTCCTGCAAACATCAGAGAAAAAGGCGATCTTACCCTCAAGTTTCGAGCGTGCGAGTCGCACGCTCGCTTTTCCGGTGGAATATAGACTCCGATGGCCGTTAGATTGCGATACAGACAAAATGTGTATTAAAGGTTGCAAATAATTAAAAAAAAAAAAACTTTAGGATGCAAATACAAAAAACGCGTATAGTACATGATGCAAAAAATTATTTACCTAAAAAAAAAATGGTGGATAAACTTATGGCACTCAATATGTAAACTGTATGCCTTTCTGGCTTTCTCAAAGGATAAATCACCTGTCCTTTTCCAATTGATCATTCTATACACGAAACTAAATTACAGGGACGGAAAAAAAAAATATCCTGGGCATCAATTCTTATCCCTTCTCCTCGTGCGCCACGTGTCCACAGATATTAAAGCCCACAAGATTTTTTTCAGAGCCGCTCCATGTCGTTTTGCCCGAAAGCACAAGGCTGCTTCGTAAAAGATCTGCCTCAACTCGGCGTCCGAACCCGACTCGAATCACTGAGTCCGATCTCCAAGTCCAACTCGCCCGTGGGCCCCACTCCGGACGGCGTCGTTGGGGCCGACCTCCTCCCCATGCTGAGTATCCTCCTCAAAGACAAAATCCTGCCCGCCGGAGAGCTCCGAGTCGACTCAGTCTCAAACTCGGCCCTCCTCGGCGGCACCTCTATCATAACGCCGGCCAGCCCCAGCCCCTTCCTCCGCCCACCCAGCGACGACGCGGCGCCATCCGAATCCCCCGTCCAGGAAACGGAGCTCGATCCCGGTTCGACCGGATCGGCTTTCTTCTCCGGTTCGGGAAGGCGACAGGTAACCGGCTCGACCGGAGAGCGGCAGAGAGGGCAGGTGGAGTGAGAGTGGAACCACATGTCTATGCAGTCAATGTGGAAGGAGTGGCCGCACTTGGGCAGGAGCCGGACGATCTCCCGCTCCTCGAACTCCGACAGGCAAACGGCGCACTCCGCCGGCGCCGGAGCCGGAGTGTAGAGAGAAACCGGGAGGGAGTTCAGAACCGCTCGGTCGAGGCCGCGGTCGGCGGCTGCAGCCTCGGGGATCCGGGCGTCGAGGTACATGACGATCTGGCCGCGGCTGAGGCGGCGGTGGAGGCGGCGGCGCTGGATCTGACGGCGGCGGAGGCGGACGACGTACCACCTGGCGTAGAGGTGGAGGGCCACCATGAAGACGATGATGGCGAAGAGGACGACGATGGCGCTCAGCATAATCCTCCCACTCAGAGCGTATTCTCTCCCGGCCTCCGCCCGAAAATCATCGCTATCCCCCATGCAATTAACAGTTCTCTTTTCAGATTAAAAAATAATTGATAAGAGAAACTAATTCTTGGAAAAATCAGTAGAATGAATCAATGAAATGAGGAGAAATGAGGAGTGGGGGATTAATATATGAGGAAATAAATAATATATATTTTTTAATATAAAAATGAGAAAACGAAAAATAAAGGGAAGAGACTGAGGGGGGAAATTTCTTGAAGGTTTCAGTGGGAATAGTAATAAAAAATGGCAAAAGCTATTTTCAAGTCAAGAGTGGGGCCCGCTTTCCACTGGAAATGCGCCATTGTTTTGACGCGGGTTTGTTGAATGACTTAAAAGGGCCTGTGTGGTGAGTGGAATGGTTGGTGTTTGGTGAGGAGTTGATGAAGGGTAGATTTGGTAGATAAAAGCAATATGATTAAGATGGTCATTGGTCAAGAGTCAATGATACTGGGAATTGAAGGTCAAGTGGTGCAGTGTTATGTTGATACAGTTTGCCTTTTAAGTTAATGGAGCGTTTGAAATAGTGGCACTTATGGTCTAAAGTTTGTAATCTCTTGCCTTTCTGTTTATTTTTTATTTTTTTTTTCCAAGTTGCCTTTATGTTTGATACTAAGGGGAAAACGTGAGTCGTATACAACGAAATTTCACTTTAGGTAATATTTTGGTCTAAAGTTTGTAATCTCTTACCTTTATATTTATTACTAAGGAGAAAACGTGTGTCATATACAATGAAATTTCACTTTAGGTAATATTATATTATATGAATATAAAGGATATAAAGGTTTAAATCTCTTTTTAAGTTTTAATAAATATCAAAATAATTATATATGACGTGGATGCATGACACGATTAGAAAACGTACTTAAGAACTTTTTATCACGGTCAAGAGAGGCACAAAGAATATGAGCTTATGAGTCCCTGCACCATGTAATTATTATAATCTTGCTTTCAAGCAATGAAGTTGTAGAGGCCTTCGTTCAAGTATGTATGCTGGTAAAGGCCGCCGAAGCAACTTCTGAATGTGCACTCTTTCATTTCATTTGGAATGCCTTTTATAGGCAAACTCTACTGACATAATGTACATATAAATATTCATACCTCATACCACTTACTATTCCCATTTCTCCAAATAGTGAAATGCCACTACTTATGCATAGTGGTTCATTCCACTTGTTTATAACACTCCCCCTTGGAATTACCACTATGCAATGTGCGTTTATGCTGCCTCATTAAAAACCTTATCCGGAAAAACCTTGTGGGAAAAAACCGAGATAAGGAAAAAAGAAGACAGGCGCACATGCTCCCCCTCGAGTTAACATTTGTGCAAATCTTGAAGATGTCTCATTCCAATGTTACGGATGTGCTTTCAGAATGTTGTAGTTGGGAGCGCCTTTGTAAATAAATCTGTTGCGTTATCACTTGATCGGATGTATTGAATCTTGATCTACTTGTTCCTTTCAAGCTCTTGAGTGTATGAGAAGAACTTTTGTGGGATATGTTTAGTTCTGTCACTCTTAACGTATCCTTATTTGGTTTGAGCGACACATGATGCATTGTTTTCAAATATCACAGTCGGATCTTTATTATTCGATAATATACTGGCTTGTTGAATGTACTGAGTCATATTTCTGAGCCATATGCTTTCCCTAGTTGCTTCATGAAGTGCAATGATTTCAGCATGGTTTGAAGATGTAGCAACAGTATTTGTTTCTGAGAACGCCAAAAAAATGTAGTTCCACCAATCGTGAATACGTAGCCAGTTTGAGATCTCGCCTTATGTGGGTCTAATAAATATCCTGCATCTGCAAAATAAATCATTTCATGTTTTTTTATCATGTGAGTAAAATAATTCCAGATCGGTTGTTCCTTGGAGATAACGGAATATATGGTTGATTCTATTCCAATGTCTCCTCGTAGGTGACGAGTTATATCTTGCTAATAAGTTGGTAATAAAAGATATATCTGGTCTAGTGCAATTAGCAAGATAAATAAGAGTTCCTATCGCACTCATATATGGTATCTCAGGACCAAGTATTTCTTCATTTTCTTCACAAGGTCAAAATGGATCCTTTTCAACATACAATTTTCGGTTAACCATCGGAGTACTAAGGGGATTAGCTTTGTCCATATTAAATCGTTTCAGTACTCTTTTAGTATAGTTAGATTGATGGACAAATATCCCATTCTGTACTCTTTTTATTTGTAAACCGAGACAATATTTGGTTTTTTCGAGATCTTTCATTTCAAATTCGCCTTTCAAAAAAGTGACTGCTTCTTGAATTTCATTTATTGTCTCAATAATATTTAGATCATCAACATAGACAGCAATCATCACAGCTCCATCATCTGATTTCTTTATAAAGACACACAGACATATTTGATCATTTAAGTATCCCCTTTGTAGTAATTGTCCACTCACACAATTATGCCACATACGCCCGAATTGTATCAAGTCATATAATGACCTTTGTAGCTTTATCGCGCATAACTCTTTACGTTTGGAGTTTAGTGCTTCAGGCATTCTGATTCCTTCAGGAAATTTCATGTAAATGTTGGTGTCTAATGATCCATACAAGTAAGCAGTCAAAATATCCATGAGACGCATCTCAAGATTTTCATGGATAACTAAACTGATCAAGTATCTGAAAGTAATTGCATCCATGGCAGAAGAATATATTTCATCATAATCGATCCCAGGTCTTTGGAAGAATCTCTGTGCTACAACGCGAGCTTTATATCTCGTGATCTCATTTTTCTCATTTCTTTTTCTGATGAAAACCCATTTGTATCCAATAGGTTTTATGCCTTTTGGGGTAATGGAAATAGGCTCAAAAACTTTTCGTTTATTGAGTGAATCTAACTCGGCTAGGATGGCGCCTTTCCACTTATCCAATCATGTCTTTTCTGACATTCAGTTACAAATTTTGGTTCAGGATCCTCAACTTCATTATCAATTTCTTTCGATATCATATATGCAAATGCATCATCAATATTTATGATCTCATCACGCTTCCAAAGATTCTCATTATTTACGTAATTAATGGAAATTTCAATAATTTTCTTTCTTCCCGAAATTTTCCCATCATCTTGATTCTTTCAAATTCGGGTCATGAATTTCTCTTTTCTTTTGAGAATTCTTGTCTTTAGACCCAATTGGTCTTCCTCGTTTTAAGCTTGTCTTTGACTCATTTCACATATTATCATTTGTCATTTCTTTTGGAATCTCAATTCGAGCAGGGACATTTACAGATGCCACACGAATCGTGTAAAAAAACCCATAAGCAAATTTCCTCTATTCTAATTACACGTGTGAAAACCAAGAGAGAGTCGTGTACCTTTTGAGATGAAACAAACAATAATCTACATGAGAAATTTCCAATTTAGCTAAGTGGATATGGTATGTAAAGACATACAAGTTTTCACAAGGAAAAAAATAAATTCAAACAAGAGCGTTTACTCTCAAACGGTCGGTCTCTACTCTCTCGTCACATGAGTTTTGGAACTAAACAAAATATATTCGAATTTATAAAAACTGAATACAATAAAATAAAAAACTATAATCCAAGATTTCAAATATCAAAGGAACATCTCTTAAACTCAGTCAATTTCACCAACTAAAGCACATGACTGTAATAATATTTTATATATTATTCTATTATTGTGGACCATATAATTAATTGGACCTAATTGAATTAATAGTCAAACTTATTTAAGGTGAATATGTATTTAATAGATTATTTAATGTTCTAATATTAAAGAGTCCAATTTGTGATGTTTGACTTGGACAGTAAGTTAGGTTAGAACATGGGGAATGTTAGTAGGAATAGGTTTGTAGGACTTCTCCTATATATACTACATGCCCCTCTCTCCCATCTCATACGCAAATAAAGTTCTCAACATCAAGGACTTTATGGAAAGACGAGAGACGCGGGAGAGAGAAACAATTCAAAGGCAAAGACAAGATAGATCCATAAGTCGAGGATGAAGAGATCGCAGATCAACATCATAGATCAAGAAAACAGGAAGGACTATAAGCTGGATTCTTGTAAGTTTTTATGTGCAATTTAATTTATGCAAAAGATCCATGTTCTATGAATTGATAGAATTACATGCTTAGGGTTTATTTAATTCCGCCTAATTGTTATAAATATACCCGTTAAATTTCTTACATGTGGTATCAGAGCATGTGTTTATGCATATGATTAAATTGCCGATCACAGTTTATTACATCCTGTGCTAAATTAAGATTGCAAATTGGTATTGGGAATTATGTGTTTTTCTGTATGTTCTGCGATGGTTTCAACATAATGAATTGAAGTTGTTTACAAGATATGATTTTATTGCTACTCTATTTTTCATATAATTTGTAAAATCGGATTATTGGATGATTTAATTCGATTAAGATTATATGCCAAAGTGTTCTGCCATCATTAGTTGTTTGGTATTACGGGAATTGATTCTAAGGGCATTAAATTTTATCAATTGTGGCATGACTGAATTATTTTGTACGGCATGCTCTTGACATGGGTCGAGATCTTACAGCAGCTTTTAGTTCTATTTTGATTTGTTTTGGTATGAACTTTATTACAGTTAATTTCTTTGATGATAGAGATTAATCAAATATGAATAATCTCATAACATACACATTGAATAAACTAATTTTCTAATTATATTATCTATGTAAAGAAACTAGTTAGTCACCAAAGTGGCCTAGTTTAATTTATGGAATAGATAATTAAATTTGATGAAATATAATTAAAATAAAATATTATCTAATTATATTATCTATGTAAGAAACTAGTTAGTCACCAAAGTGGCCTAGTTTAATTTATGGAATAGATAATTAAATTAGATAAAAGTATCAATTATTCAAATATAAGACGATGTCTTATTAATGTACCACAATATTATAATATTTGAATAATTGATGTTATAGATTATAAACTAGGAGGACACCCAAAGGTGGGCCATGGTTTGTAATATATGACAATAAAAGAGAAATTATATTAAAGTTAGGTTAATTAGTGTGTTTGTCCAAAGATAACCACTAATTAATCACAATACCTATCATTTCTATTAAAGATCTTTCCTCTTAGGCATCAATCAAGTATATTATATATTTAAGTATTTGCCCAAAGGTATATTTAAATATATAATTTAAAAGTTTTTTGAATCCATTAATTGTCCCTCAAAGCTTAACTAAATAGCATGTATTAAAGTTTGCAGCGTTCAAAATTTGGTTATCCATACAGTATTATAGTTTAAAAAATTCAATTGGCTGAACTTCAATAAATGGTCTAAGCATATCCAATTTCAGTTAGGTTCAATGACTTTGTATATGACTCCAATTATTGATGAAGTTACCACAACCATTACTGATGAGAGCTCCGAAGTAGAGGTAACTCTACGTAGGGTATGTGAGCGATCAAATAGGTTGTGTTTGAATTTTATGAAGTTAATCAAGGCGGATAACATTAAAGCCAATAATGCAAAAGAATTCCTAAATAAAAATCAAGGATTATCTCCATTTAAAATTGCGGGAAAAGTTTATTGTGGAAAGTTTCATTAATGTACTCTCCACTATGAAAGTTCATCTGATTCCGCTCCATCCATGATTTTGCGATCCATGTGTTCCACATATAAGCTAAACTTGCAAACATGAGAATGAATGTGATAGACTCATTTATGGTTTTATTCATCATGAACTCCTTACCTGTTGAGTTTGGTCAATCCTAGGTGAACTATAACACCATTAATGATAAACGGGATTGTAAGCAAATTAAGGCTATGCTGGTGCAGGAAGAGGTGAGAATAAATGAGATGAAAGAAGAGTCGATTCATTTTATATCTCATGTGGGAGCCAATAATAGTAAGATAAAATGGGAAATAAAGGCAAATAAAAGGAGACTGACTTACTTAAAGTTTTTGTAGGTCCAATCATTAAATAAATAAGGTGTTAGTTTTGTAAAAAGCTAGGCCACCTTAGGAAAGATTGCCCGAAATAAAATCTTGATTCGAAAAGAAAGACATACATTAAATTTTCGTATGTTGTGAATCAAATTTATTAAAGATTCCCAATAATACTTAGTGGCTTGGTTCTGTGCAACTACTTATGCATCTCATATTTATTTTGAGGTTTAACGTAGTGCACATAATTAAAATTCTACTCTCTTATGGCATTAAAGATTATGGTCACATATCCAAAGAAAAGTCTTGAGAATAGTGAATAATGAAACCATTTCTCATTTGGATTTTAGCGATCAAGATGTATGTATAAAATGAATTAAAGAAAAGCAAACTAGCATACATTAAAGAGATCTGCCAGGAGAAGCATTAAAATCTTATAACTTATGTATACTAATTTTTGTGGTCTATTCGACGTTCCCTTGTGGGGGCGGTATAAAGCAATCACCATTATAAATGATTTCTCACGTTATGGTTATATTTATCTACTATATGAAATGACTCAATCATTGGACTATCTAAAGATATACAATGATGAGATGGAGAAGTAGTTAGATAAATAAGTAAATGTTGTGAGATCTCACTAGAGTGGTGAATATTATTGTAAGTTCAAATAAAAGAGGATAATGTCCTAGTCGATTTGCAAAGTTTCTTGAGATTTGAAATATTTGTGTGCAATACACTATAATTGAGATTCCTCAACATAATGGTGTTGTTGAGAGGATAAATCGTACTTAAAGAATATGGTTAGGAGTATGTTGACTAATTCAACATTAACGTTTTCAATGTGGATGCATTTATTAAAGACTGCTGCATATTGGGTAAACAAGGTTTCTAGTAAAGTAGTTCCTAAAATACCTTATGAACTATGAAAGAGTAGGAAACCTAGTTTGAGGCACCTTCATATTTGGGGGTGTCAAGCAGAAATAAAAGTATATAATCCACATGAAAAGAAACTTATTCCTAGGACAGTCAGTGGTTATTCATTGGCTATCCGAAATGTTCTAAAGGATATAAGTTTTACAGGTCTAACCATAGTACGAGAATAGTTTATTCCAACAATGCTCGATTCATTGAAAATGTTCAAATCAGTGGGAGTTTGAAACTGCAAAGTTTGGATGTCAAAGAAGCTCGGGTTGAACAGTACAAACCCGAGAGTCCATCAATAGTTTTTATTCATTTTGTTACAGTAACGTCATGTAACTTGGATGAATAACAAAATGATCCAAACTCACTTGATAATGAATCGGTTACAAACACTCAAGAAATTATAGAACAACCTATGGTTGATGAATCACAAGCCATGAAAAGTGTAAATTCTGAAAAGTTGATCAATGCCATAAAAGAATAATGGATGACAATAAAGTTTGGGATTAAGTAGAATTACCTGAATGGTCTAAAAGAGTTATGTGTAAATGGATTTTTCGAAACCAAACACGACTCTAAAGGTAATATCGAAAGATATAAAGTTAGACTTGTTTCTAAAGGTTATACCCAAAAGGAAGGCATTGACTACAAGGAAGCATTATGTCTCGTTTCAAAGAAAGATTCCTTGAGAATTGTAATGGTAATGGTGGCTCTGTATGACTTTGAGCTTTATCAAATGGACATAAAGATCACCTTCTAAATGATAAACTTAGAAGGAGATCTACATGAACTAATTAAAAGTTTTTTAGATCACAAGAAATGAAACATTAGTGTGTAAGTTGAATAGATCGATATATGGACTAAAATAAGTCTCTCGTCAATGATATCTTAAGTTTAATGATACCATCACTGCTTATGGTTTTGTAGAGAATACCGTAGATCGGTGTATCTACATTAAGGTCGGTGGGAGTAGATTTGTTATTTAGTTTCGTATGTCGATGACATATTATAGTTGCTAATAATGTGGACATGTTGCACGAAGTAAAGTATTCTCTCTAAAAAGTTATGAAATAAAGGATGTGGATGAAACGTCCTTGCTAATTGGAATAGAAATATTCTGGAATAGATTACAAGGACTAAAAGTTTATCCCATACAAGTTTTATTTTGAGAGATAATGGATGGTTGTTCCGTATAATTCCAATTCACAAAAGGGACACATTTAGCCTAAAATAAATGTTGGAAAGGTGAAATGGAATGAAAAGTGATGGATGAAATTCCTTAGATATAAATGATTGGGAGTCTTAAGCGAGACTAACCTGTACTAGGTTTGATAATATATTTGTTATTGGTACGTTAAACAACTATAAGAATAATTTTAAATGATTATGCTGCAAAGAAATTTTTAAAGTACTTACAAGGCATTAAAGAAAACATGTTAACTTAAAGAAGATCCAAATTATTGGTTATAATTGGATACTCGGATTCAGACTTTTGCTCATAATGTCTAAAAGAGCAAAATTATGGAAAGGTGGAACAAAAGTCCATCATCGCGACTTCCACGGTGTAGGGTTGAGTTTGTGGTATGCTTTGAGGCCACAAGTCAAATTTAGGGCTACAGTGCTTTATCTTAGGACTTGGAAATGTCGACATCTTGTCCAAGCCGCTAAGAATTATCGTAGCATTGTAGCAATAATATTTCAAGGAATGACAAGTATTCAAAGGGTGTGAATCACATAAAATTGAAATACTTGGTCGTAAAAATAGAAGTGAGGAACTAAAGTGTCATTTGAGCATTTTAGTACTAATTGCATGAAAGTGGATCCATTAAAAAGGTTATTCCCTATAGCCTTTGGAAGGCATATAAAGAAAATTGGGAATAACGAATGGGGCCTTGTTGGACTGACCGATACTGAATGAAATTGCTCAATTAATGATTTTGACACTTGTTGAATTCAATTAAAGATGTTTGGTTCTTCACATACAATATCATCATTATGGATATTTATTTATAGTATATACATAAAAGTTGGATGACTTATGGTTATGGTACGAACTGTTTGTTCCATATTAAAGTAAAATTGAATTAGAAATGATTTGTGGTACATGGAAGGGATCATGTCGCTCGAAGACTTGTGACCGCCATGACTCGGTTAATTTCTAGTTTGATTTTAAATTTATAGATATATTTATTCAATTATAAGTTTGATGAAAGGTGCGCGCTTAAAGTAGTTCTTTGGGTTTTGGCACTTATATGGTCCAAGTGGGAGAATGTAATAATATTTTATATATTATTCTATTATTGTGGACCATATAATTAATTGGACCTAATTGAATTAATAGTCAAACTTATTTAAGGTGAATATGTATTTAATAGATTATTTAATGTTCTAATATTAAAGAGTCCAATTTGTGATGTTTGACTTGGACAGTAAGTTAGGTTAGAACATGGGGAATGTTAGTAGGAATAGGTTTGTAGGACTTCTCCTATATATACTACATGCCCCTCTCTCCCATCTCATACGCAAATAAAGTTCTCAACATCAAGGACTTTATGGAAAGACGAGAGACGCGGGAGAGAGAAACAATTCAAAGGCAAAGACAAGATAGATCCATAAGTCGAGGATGAAGAGATCGCAGATCAACATCATAGATCAAGAAAACAGGAAGGACTATAAGCTGGATTCTTGTAGCTATAAAGCCTGAAATCCAATATTATTCATCTCCACCATAACCCAACGATCTTTTTCTACAGTACTTAAGGCGACTATAGGAGATCCATAAAAGTCAAATTCTTGAAAATCCAAAAAGGAAAATAGTAAAAAAGTAAAATAAAGTAAAAAAGTAAAGGTCCCACTGGACGAGAAGGTCAAGAATCCATCACGTGACCAAATATATGGGCGTAGCCGACGTGGCGGAAACGCTGTGGTTGTGGTCCATATTCAGCTCCCTGAGGCTGATGTAGGGGATCTCCACATTCCCTTTCGCGAGCGGACCGGACCCAGGCCGGCTGACGGTTCGGTAGGGCGTTGTCGAGCCGCTCCTGCTCTCAGTTATGTAAACCGGGCCAGATATCAATCCAATGCGGCGGCGGAGAGCGCCTGGATCAGCGGCGGCGCCGGCAGGAGGCGCCTGCTTGGGGAATCTGAAGAATAGAAGCGCGTTACGCCACCAGCGTTTCTTGTTTTTCTTGATCTTCTTGGAGGCGTCGTCTTTGGAGATGGGTTTTTGTAGCTTGAAGTGAAGGTCTATAGATCTTGTCGTGGACTTGTGCTTCCTCGCTTCTTCCAAAACCTCCAAACATAAAAACGCACACAAAAATCAACAGATAAGAAAATAAAAATTGTGGAAAAAAGTTGAAACATATGTTTTATCCAATGTATAATAGCAGCAAAACAAAAAATTAAACAAATAAAATCAATTGAAGGATAAAACTATTAATCTTAAATTCGAATTATCCACATTGCAAAATAAGAATATTTACTTCATCAATTAAATGATGTATTATTAATGTGCAAATAAAAAAAGAAGGATACCTGATAGTAGTCAATCTGAGGTTCAAATCCATAGTCCGAAAATGGTTGCGGTTGGAGTATAGAGAAAATGGGGGATTTATCAGACATTTAAGCAGTAAATTCAAATAAAAAGTGAAAAAACAAAAACAACTATACAATACAAAAGAATGGACTATATTTCTTGTTGAAGGTAATGTAAGATGTTAATGGAAGAGCGAGGTTTTGTAGGGAAGGGAAAGTGACAAAATAAATGGCCGTTGGATTTAGTGAAGGCCTCGTTAATGCATTCACGTCCTTTTATTGGATACAAATCTCTGCACACATTATTATTGCATTATTAATTTCCACGCATGCTCCAAATGTTTTACGCTCCGTTTGGTTGGGTTCCATTATTAAACTTCCCATAACGAATCTTTGAAGTAAGACTTCAACTATGTGAATTAAACAAATTATTACCAGTGTTCTAAAATTCGCTAGGCGCCCGTTAGGCGCTCGACCAGCGCTTAGCGCCTAGAGCAGCGCCTAGTCGAGGCCCAGAAATCAATATTAAATACCTTATTTTTTATTTATTTTAACTACCTACAAAATAAAACTATCTCAACTTATAATAAATTCACACACCAAAGTCCAAATAATAATACTAATATATATTAAAGAAAACATGAGAACAAAATAATGTAATTAGTATTTAAAAAAAAAAAAACTGAAAAATTGCCGCCGAGCCCGCCTAGGAGCGCCTAGATCCGCCTACGCCCGCCTAGACGCCGCCTAACCGCCTGGCCGCCGAGTAGCGCCTAGGGCCGCCTAGACCCGCCTAGGCGCCGCCTAGCCGCCTGGCCGATTTGTACAAATCGGAGGCGCCCGGGCACCGCCTAGCGCCTAGGCGCCGCCTAGGCCGATTTTTAGAACAGTGATTATTACATTGTGCTCTGTTTTCCAGTTAACGCTGGTTGTTTGAATGTTTTTCGGATAAACTCTCTCATTTCTAATTAGTGTTTTAAAAAAGATGGCAATGTTACTTTAAGAAACTATGTCTAAGAATTTTTCCTTTCTCCAAATTTAATTAACCAAGTCGTGCTGTAAACAATTGTGAACAATTATGACAGATTAGGTAGAAGTATCATAATCTTCACCAAATGATATGAGATGGATTTGATGCTATCCTTATTGGCAATGTCTCCATAGAGATTTCACTCATCCAATCTCAATCATTCACATATTCATTAAATTTTAACTAAAAGAACATTTTAGTTAAAATTTATCTTTCCCTCTCATTTGAATTTAGATCCATGGCAAATAAACGAATTGAAACCTATGTGTCAAACGGTTCGAGTGATTCACGAGGTGATGTATTGAAAACTCGCCCCAAATGATGGAGTAGTCCCATCATCATCATCCCAAAATATAAGTCAACTTTAATTTTTAATTTATATTATATTTGTTGATACTTTTCTTACTCTTAGTGTATTTTATAATTAAAATGATATGAAAAGTTAAAAAATAATTATTAAAAAACTATATTATGTTGTTTCAATTTTAAATTTTCATTGTTAGTTGCACAAATTTAGTCTTAATTGATTTATTGAGTGACTTTTTATATCTTTTAAAGTTGATTTCAAAATAATGTATGTAGTTAAATATGGATGTATGAATGTTGAATTAAAAAAATACAAATCAAAATTTTAAATATAATTAAATAAAAATGAAAAATATTAAAAAATAATTAAATAAAATCTCGAACTCTTATCGAATGGAAAAAATAAAAAATAAAAATCTCCACTTCCCCATCTATATTCTTTCTTCTCTCTCTCGTCACCCCTCATCTTATACACAACAATGGAGAAAGTAGAGCACCGTATGGTCCCCGTCAACGGCCTCAACATCCACGTGGCCGACCTTGGCCAGGGGCCCCTCGTCCTCTTCCTCCACGGCTTCCCCGAGCTCTGGTACTCGTGGCGCCACCAGATGGCATTCGTGGCGGCGCGGGGCTACCGAGCTGTGGCGCCGGACCTGAGGGGCTACGGCGACACCACCGGCGCGCCGCTCGGCGACCCATCGAAGTTCAGCACGCTTCACCTGGTCGGCGATCTGGTCCTGCTTCTGGGGGCGATCGCGCCGGATGAGGACAAGGTGTTTGTCGTCGGCCATGACTGGGGAGCTTACATCGCCTGGCACCTGTGCTTGTACAGGCCCGATAAGGTCAAGGCCCTGTTCAATTTGAGTGTAGCTTTTATTCCATGGAGTCCTGAGATGAGCACAGTGGAGAAGGCTAGGAAATTGTATGGGGATGACTATTATATTTGCAGATTTCAGGTGGAATTTTTTACTAATTGAACATGATGTCTTTGTTTTTTGCTCGATCTAATTTATCAGATGTTAATGTTCTGATGATTTTCCGCTGGGCGTGTACTGGGATTGGATTAGAATACGCTCTTTCTTCGCTTTCCTTATTCGGATGTTGGGATGGATATGAAATCTTTTATTAGTCTTTCTAGCTAAGAAGATTTTTGGTATCTTTTTTCGCCCTGACAAACGAATATGGATATAATGGTTTAACAAACATGGATGGATATTAGTGAAATCGCAGCTCAATCTTGGAAAAGCATGAAATCCTTTTGCCCATTCATTTGTATTCTTGAGCAGTTATATTCTCTGTGTTTGGCCTTATGAGGATGTTTAACAATTTTGGAAACCAATTTAAACAATTTATCCCTTATCATTTGTTCCAGGAGCCTGGTGAAATAGAAGCTGAATTTGAAAAGCTTGGCACCAAGGAATTTTTCAAGAATATGTTTGCATACAGAACTCCCGGCCCACTTTATTTCCCGAAAGGTAAAGGATTCGGGTACTCGGCTGAGAGGGTACCTTGGTTAACTGAAGAGGATCTCGACTACTATGTCAGCAAATTCGAGAAGACGGGTTTCACTGGTGCTGTGAATTACTACCGCGCATTCGGCTTGTAAGTAATCTCGGTCGTCTTTGTATCTCAGATTTTATACATGATTTTATTGTTTTCACCAGTCAGAGTTCAGACAGAAGCTGCATTTTCTAGTGTGGTTATTACGTGAAATTCATCAAACTTGATGACCTCGGCTTTGAATTGAGATATGAAATTCTATTCTAAGTGAGTAACAATGAAAAGGTGATTATGCTTTTAGTGGTCTCTAAAAGTACCAACTTATACTGGGTTATGTGATTTCTTCACACAAATCAAGCAATTTTACATCTTAGTAGTGTTCCTTTACACACCCTTGAGGTATGCTCCAAAGATTTGACAAACACCCCCTGAAGTTAGCTCAAATATTACAGATCTGCTTCTGATTTACGCCTCACTGCCCACATAAAAATTCGCCGCTTTTTACATGTAATTCACTAGTCAAATGCTTCTTAGCTTCTATTTTACGAAACTACCATCTTCTAATCTGCCACTGTAGAGTTTTAATTCCTTTGCAAACACTATCAACTTTTGGTTATCAGCCATCAATCTTTTTCTCTCTGAATAATTGGTGTTTGCCAATTTGTAGAAACTGGGAACTGAATGCGCCATGGTGTGGGGCTGTGGTGAAAGTGCCGGCAAAGTTTCTGATAGGGGATTTAGACCTGACCTATCACGTGCCAGGAGCAAAGGACTTCATACACAAAGGCGGGTTCAAGAAGTTTGTGCCCCTGCTCGAGGATGTTGTGGTTTTGGAAGGAGCGGCCCACTTTGTCAACCAAGAAAGGCCAGACGAGGTTAATGAGCACATCTATGCTTTTCTCAAGCAGTTCTGAAATAATATTGTGTTCTTGTGTTGTAGCTACTAAAACGGAAGGTTGTCTTTGGATAATAAGAATTAGACATTTTGAGGTTTTCTCCTTGTTGTAGCTTTAACTTGCAGCATCATACAATAAATCTTGACTTTTTTTAACAATAAAATGCCCAAGGATTTAATGTTTGCTTGATATTGGAATAGTATCTTATTATTGAATTCAAGGGACCTCATTTTATTAGGTCTTCCCAACAATTATGATCCTTGAGACTATTGCTAACTAGGGTTCCTTGAGTCAAGGGGATATGTTCAAGGACAGAAATATTGATCATCAAAGCTATTGTCAATTGAATAACTGCAATCTACAGTAAAAAAATAAATAAAAATAGAAAACAATTTATGAAGGGTAGAGAAATGTTTCAGTGCTCAGTAGAAACAGATGCCACAACGCCATTGGCTGGAGAATCTTCATGTTGACTCAGGTGAATTAATCATGATATGATTATCTTCCTCAGTTCCAGACAAATGAATTGGCCTGAGGTCAATTTCACTTTGTAAAATGACATACTATAATCATAATGTTTAAAGCTGCATTGAGTGTAAATTAGGATTATTTACAAAACGGCCCGAGGGCTAACATAATAGAGAAAAAGGAATACCCCTCATAATTCAGGTCCTACAGAAGGGGATATTTGTCTTTATAACAGGTATTTTTAATTATGAACCACTATTGGAATTTTTGGCAATTAGGGTAAAATTAGAAGGGCCTTTAAGTAATTCATACAAGAGAAGACATTGACAAATTTCAACTACATGGCAGGTCGGTAAGGAGCATATACCTGTGTGAGTTTGTTTTCTTGCCTCTCAAACACAAGGGGAGTGCACAAAAGCCACTAAATATCTTCCCATTTCCAGGAAAGTTCTGAGACTTCACATGCACAAAAGAAAAAACTACAAGCTCAGTCCAGAGAGAGAGAGAGAGGTATAAGGCAGGAGAGAGAGAGAGAGAGAGAGAGAGAGAGATTACTGTTTGTCTGTTTGAGCCTTGTGGTTTAGATAGCTCAATTTCTGGGGCTTTACGTCTCTTCTTTTCATGAACAAGAACACCAGCACATTTACATATGTAAAACAAAAGCCCCAAGCCAAGAAAAAACACCAGAAAAGATTCAACCACGATTGCTGATCCTAAAGCTGCACCAAAACAACAAATAAAGAACATATAAAACTCCTTTTGATTGTATTCCCCCGGCAAAAAAAAAAAGGAAAAAAAAAAGAAAAAAGAAAAAACATTGAAAACACTAGTTCTAATAAAGGATCATCAAATCTTACTATGAGCTGCCAGTGAACTCATCGGTTTGTGTTTGACGAGATTTACAGTGGACTCAACAAACAGAGATTCAGACATCATCTCGGAACAATCTGGGTAACATCCATAGTTTCCTAAATCATTCACTGTCACGGTCAAAACAGCACCGTATTGACCTTCCTGGGTAAAAAGAATATTAACAATGACTTTATAACATCAATTGACAAATAAAATATAGAAAGAAGAAATATGCCTGTTTTAGACTCACATGATATGATAATTGCCTCAAGACATTGTTGCTCTCATCAATCGGGCCTCGAAACCGAATACCTTTTGCTTTCACCCAAAAGTGCCTTGAGATGGTGACAAATGTCAGTAATGGCTGCCACTGATAACCGGTCTTCATTTTTACCTCAGTCGACTCAATTAGCTCGGCAGGAAGGCTTGTGGACAATAGCCCGGCACTCACCTCCATCGACAACATGATTGAAAACCGAGACCTATTGCCTGAACTTGAGAATAACTTTTTTTTCAACATTTTTTGAACTCATCATCATTACTATAACTATTAGCTTTGCATATTGATCTTTTTTACTATTACCAGGAAAATTCTCAACATCTGGATCCACAATGAAGTCAAATTTTCCACCTCGTTCGCCAAAAATGAGCACGCCATCACTCAAATCATCCATGACAATAAATGAGGGAATATTTATGAGAGGAGGATCGTTAATTGGCTGCACGTAGATAGGCACATCCAAGTCATTTCTCCCGTTTTTGTTCATGGTCGAAACTCGAATTATGTCGGGTCCACAGAAATTCGCATTTCTATCAACAGACTCTTAATTCTGTTAGTAAGCTAAAAAAAACATGCAAGAAAGTATAGCTACATATTTGTTCTGATAAGTCGGAGTTTCTTACCCCAAGTATTGGATCGACTGAAGGGCAGAGTTGATTGCATCAATAAAACCTACCAAAGTTAGTTCATTTGGCATTTGAGGCCCTCTGTTAACCGAAAGTTCATTCAACCTTGGCTGCCAAAATTGCATTTGTGAGGGAAATAACAAAATATTCCCAGATTTTGAACTAAGAGAAACGCTGATGTTCTCGGACGAATCTGAATATGTAATCTCAAATCCAGAGAAACCGCTGCATAAATCAATAAAACATGTACATTTATATTTTTGACATATAACTGGATTTAGAAGGAAAAGAGTAGCAACTAATTACCCAAATGTGGGACTAACTTCATCCTCAGTGGCAAGCAAATTACTAGGAAAGGAAACAAACTGAGGTGGCCTGCAGAGGATAAGTAAATCCACAGAAGCCGAAGCAAGGTTCCCATTTATGTCGGTTATCGTGTAAGAAAAAGTATCATTCCCAAAAAGCCCTCTGTATGGCGTGTATCTAAAGAAGGCTCCGCTCTGCAGAATTGAGCCGTGGCCTGGCTATAAAAGATATTTATCCACTCAATGGTGTAAACTGAATAGCTACCTATAGAAGAACAAAAAATGTCATTTTTTTTTGTAATTTTTTTTATTCAAATTACCTTAGTATACTCGAGAATACTCGCATTCCCACCAGCAAAATAATCATTTTCTAAGACGTTAAAAGAAACCGACTCATCCTCCCACACCGGAATCGTATCATTGTAGGCCTTAGGAAAATATTCACCTGCAAAAATTCAAGCCAAAAGAGTTTTAAATGCACCTACTGTAAGAATAGTTTAGTAAATTTAATAGCTTGGGACTTACTATGGTAAACATTCACGCCAAGAGGACATGGTGCGAAGCGTTCTACATTGTAAGAAGCACATATTTCGTACGTTCCAATATCATGTACGAGGTATTTAGCACTATATGATCCATCCTTGTTGTCCGTAAAATTCCACACCCTAGAAGCTGATTTGTTGATTGAAGCCATCTCTAGTTTCAACTTCGATTCTTGTTGTAATACAGGGTTATGAAAAGAATCAACGAGTCGAACAACTATCTCATTCTTAATCAGCTTCGGGACTTTCTCAGAAAATTTCACGACTCCCGAGAGTGATACATTGACATTTCCTGCAGCCAGCAAAACGATAATAAGTACATTGCTTTTA